CCCCACTCTCAGGAAGGCGGGGGGGGGGGGGAGCTATTCAAAGGACCTCAACTGAAACTGGAGCAGCCCCCTCTACTTCCTCTGCTTCTCTTGGGCAGGAAGACCTTCTGCCCTGCACAGGTGCCAGCCGGCCTTTGCCCTTGCAGGTGGGGGTGGGAGAGCCTAAGGTGCCCATCCTGTCCCTGGCACCAAGTGCCCCACCTGCTCTGCTCTCTCTCCCTTCAGCCCCTGCCTGGGATGGAGACGGGCAACATGCTACGCCCTGAAGCCCAGGGTGGGGCAGGGGTCCCAGGCCACCCCAGTCCTCCCTTCTCCATGGGGTTCAACCCCCCCAAAGGGAACGCAGGTGTCCCCCTCGGCTGCCCCCTCCCCCTGCCTGGCACGATGGGGTCTGCTCAGGGAGCAGGGAGGGCAGCCTCAGGAGGTGCCTGGGGGTGGGAAGGGGGGGGGGTCTATTGCTTGTTTCTCTCTCCCTATCCAGGCGGCCTCTTGGTGGGGGGCAGGCAGGGGGGGCTCCACAACCAAACTCAGCCCACAGGCCCTCTGCTTCCACAGTCCCTGGCTCTTTATTGAGGTGTCGGTGTTAAAAACAGGCTTTCACAGCGGGGGGCGATGGGATCGAGAGTCCGGCTGAAGAGGCGTCTCTGAGCTGTGCAGAGGAAGCTGGCACAGGAGCATGGGCCTTGGGAGCTCGGCGGGGCCTGGGGGGGGGCTGCCCCTCCCGCCGGCCAGTCTTGCAGGAATGTCTCGGCGCTTTACTGCACACCCTCCATCATCTTCAGGAACTCTGGGGGGAGATGGAGATGGGTCAGCCCCTCCCCCGGCAATGATGGGCAGAGGAGCAGCCCCTCCCAGAAGCTAAGGGTGATAGCCCCCCCCACACACAGTGGCACCCAGCAACCCCCCAACCACCCTGGAGGCAGCCTCGCTGAATTATTAGGGGGTCCCGGGAGAGACTTTGGCAGGGGGCTCGGCCACCACAGTCCCAAACTCCACGTAGGGAAAAGTTGGGTGAGGGGCTGGGAACAGGGGCAGGGGAGGGCAGCTATGGGTCAGCCCCAAGGAGCTCTGTCCATCTGTCTGTCCGAGCGTCTCACCGTCAAAATCGATCCGCCCATCGTTGTTTTTGTCTCCATCCCTCATCAGCTCCTGGATCTCCTCCTCTGTGACACTTTCCCCGGAGAGCTGGAAGATCTCCACCAGCTCCTCAGCATCCAGGAACCCATCGGCATTCCTGGCAGGAGATTGGGAAAGAGAATGGAATGGAATGGAATGGAATG